TGAGAACGAAGCGACAGGTGTTTGAAATGAATAATGCATTGAGTACCCGACGGCCGATGCGCCCCACACAGACCCAGCTCACTGAGTTGCCATGGCTGGTGCTAACAAATTCTCAGACTAAGCCCCGAGAGCTTGCCTACACACTCGGTGAAGCTACTCGTAACGTAACCGCCTGAGGTTAGTTACTGGCAGTAGGCGGGCAACGTGCGGCCGCGTGAGTTCGTAGCGAGCTCGGCGCGAACATTGCACCGCTTTTGTCGTTCTCGTTTTTGGAGGAAATTTAGTTTATTTACGTTAATGAAAAATTTAAAGAAACACCATTGAACTGTAACACATGTATTTTTTTTATTGCCATTGTAGGTAGACGAGCATGCGGCCCACCTGATGGTAAGTGGTCACCGTCGCTCATGGACGTCAGCAATGCCAGGGGCAGAGCCAAGCCGCTGCCTACCGTTGGTACATTACATACGAATGTACATTAACCCTGAAGAGAAGTATCACCGAGAACGCGCCTGCCGCGCCGGTCCCGTCGCCGCGTCGCCCTGTGCGAGTACCAGCCGCTGATCTGGAGCGAACTTGAGTTAGTTGCGCGCTATACGTCTCGGTCAGCTCACGCGACGGACGCGCACTACTGTGATACTGGCAAATCTGTGCAGGTTCATGAAGACAATGTAACGTAACGTAAAACGTAAATTAAAGAACTTTTAGTAGCTGTAAGAGCTTTTGAGTCGTGAATTCATTTGAGAAACAGTAGGTATAAGCGCTGCACGTTTTTGGCTTTGGCTGGTCCTGAACTGAAATAACTGAACTATACAACCTTAGCGTAGTTACGTCAAGAACAATATAATGCAGAAAGTAGGTACTGTGTTGGACGAGTACAACGGACGTGATTGTACGGAGTGCCCAGACATCCCTCCTTCTTATCAGAAACAACTCCGATAGCTTGAGAAATTATTTATTGATAAGCTTAAACTAATTAATTAATAGATGGTATATGATACAGATGAGGTCATGCGGGTGCGCGACGCCTTGCTGACAGCGGTGCACGAACTGATTCAAACTAAATGGTTCCGAGGTAAAACGCATCCGCAGGCAACACGTACCTACAGTGCGCGCCTGTCCGTACAATCTTTATCATGTGTTTTGTCGCCGGCGCAATGTCTCAATTGTATTTATAACGACTGGCCCCGTCCCTACCTACAGAACCGGATAACATCGAGGCAGAGATGGGCAAGTAGGTTGTACTTACCCGAGTGGGTTTACAACACATGGTTTACCGCCAACAAGTAATACATAGCTATCGGCAATCGAGAGCACAAAAAATGGCGAACAAACCGAGCTGATTAAAGGCTAACCGCCTAGCTCCCCTCCCCCGCCCCCCGCGGCCCCGGCACGCGCGGCGCGGCACAAGGCGCGGGCGGCGCGGCACACGGCGCGGGCGGCTCCCGGCACGCCAGCTGTGCGCCGACCGCGCTCGCACTGACTATATAGTGCACGACTACAGGGCTACATCACGACTTGGCGACTGTGTTGTTATTCCGTAACACTACGAGGTGAGCAAGTAAAGGCTACTTACTCCAAATACAAACTTCATGCGCGCTATGTTTAGTGTCGTCAAACAGGATCCACTCAATCGGAATCTTAGTTAGCTTTTTTCGTTATATGTTAATAGCTCTCAGTACTCAATCTGTAATCTGTATTATAAATTTACAATCATGTGGTAAATGTGTAAGTTACCTTGTATATCATCATATGTGTGCTACTCATGAACCAAGACGCGAACCGGGCCGCGCCCTATATATCTGCTATATATAATAATAATAATATATACGACAGTATTTGCCAAGTCTAATTATACGTACAAACGGATCTACAAATCCATTGCTAGTTTATGGACCAGATAGAGAACTTTCACAATCAAGATGTCTTTACTACGATATGGAATGGCAATCTCACGACTTGCCCTTATCCAAATGTGAGCGTGTAGTATACCTTACTAGTCTGGCCATAAATAATGTTACAAAACTTTAATTTTTTTCAACTTTTTAATTACTTTAAATTTGGAACACGTGTATCATTTTAAAAACTTCTTTCGATTATGCGCCATTTCACATATTTTTTCGTATTTATTAACATATATTGTAATATGGAATGGGGCTGTTAAAGAGAAAAGGATTGCAGTGATCGCCTTGCACACAGTGGGTATGGAGCCGTCGTTTTCGTCATATTCCAAACAATTCAAAAGCTTGGTACCAGCCGTATGTTCATTTATCGTACTGTCAACAGATACAACAACACTTCGTCTGTTGAAGACCAGAAAAGATGGGGGCGGCCGCGTGCTGTTAGAGCTACAGAGGCTGTTAATGCTGTTAAAGCCAGAATTCGTCGAAATCCCATTAAGAAGCAAAAAAATTTATTACGAGAAATGAAGATTCCCGCTAGGACTCTGTCGCGTATTATAAGACACGACCTGAAGCTCGGTGCTTATCGTCGATATACAGGACATGCTCTAAATCAATCTTTACAATTAAAGAGAGTGGATACGCATGTGATACAGTGTACGCTCACAGTTCTAAAAACCTACTCAAGTGGTTGGGAAGGGACAACGTGGTCATATTCTGGGTCAGCGATGGTTTGGTGGGGCGCATCTCAAGGAGTCACAAAACTACATTTTTGTGAAAACGGAATGAAAACTTCAGCCAAAGTGTATCAAGATACAGTCTTGGATCATGTTGTGAAACGTCTCAGCAATACACTTTATAAAATATACCGTGGACTTTCCAGCAGGACCAGGTTCAGACCTGGTCACAAGGCACGAACTACCCAAGCCTGGCTTGAAACCAACGTTCCGGACTTCATAAGAGCTAAAGACTGGCCCTCATCTAGCCCAGACCTCAACCATTTAGATTTCAAATTATGATTAGTTTTAGAGGACATGGCTTGCTCTAAACGACACGGCGACATTAAGCCTCGTAAAAAATCTTTGGAGCAAGCAGTGGCGAAATTTCCCTTGGCAACACGTGTGTGAATCTATAAATTTGTGGCTATTTTAAAGGCCTTAATATTCTTCGAATATAATATTTTTTTATTGTTTGTTGACACTTTAATAAATAAGTTGGTATAAAAATAATATTACATTACTTCATTTAAAAAAATGGATTTTCATTTGTAACAGAACTTATGGCTGGAATAGGTACTATATAATATTATAATATAATGTACATAGGTGCATTCCAGTAATTTTATAAAACATTATTAAATCTGTCCTTGTCATAAAGAAGGCTTGAACACACCAAAGCATCGCCTATGATATAAGTGAACCTTTATCCCGGGAAAATGCAACGTGTTAATTATTAGTAACTTACAAAGTTAACACGGGCGCGTCGCCGCGTCGTTAAGGAATTACAATATTAAAGATAGCAAGCATACTCATTTAGAATAGAACTATTCAACAAATTACATAACTGTAACTTTTTTATCCTACCGAACCGATCTCTACCGATGGATGTATGTTTGTTACTGTTTCACGCAAAAACTACTTGGTGGATTTTGCTGAAACTGGTGGATTCACCATTAGGTGGGTAGACGAGCTCACAGCCCACCTGGTGTTAAGTGGTTACTGGAGCCCATAGACATCCACAACGTAAATGCGCCACCCACCTTGAGATATAAGTTCTAAGGTCTCAAGTAAGTTACAACGGCTGCCCCACCCTTCAAACCGAAACGCATTACTGCTTCACGGCAGAAATAGGCAGGGCGGTGGTACCTACCCGTGCGGACTCACAAGAGGTCCTACCACCAGTAATTACACAAATTATAATTTTGCGGGTTTCATTTTTTTTAACGCGATGTTATTCCTTCACCGTGGAAATTAATCGTGAACAATTTTCATTAGTAAAATTGGTATCCGCCTGGGATTCGAACACCGGTGCATCGCTTCATACGAATGCACCGGACGTCTTATCCTTTAGGCCACGACGACTTCAAATACATAGTCCTACAAAAAGTTCGAGACATTAAATATCTATCTTTTATGTGTAACCGATTATTGCCAAAATAGTGAATCATAAATACAAAAAAAAATTATAATTTATTTCCAACGCACATTAGGTAGTAACAAATTGATCCTTAATATATCAAAATAAATACTTTTATCGCATCTAGTATTTAAAGTACATAATATATAAACTTTGTCTTTTACACTACATCATTTGGACAAATATTTGAATAGTATGAATGACTAGTTCGCGTCTGTCTCATCCGATCGATTCCATTTTATTTAGTTATTTGTTGGGCAGACGAGCTTTGCTCTTATCGATTAACAAAATTTGGTTTTTAATTGTTTGTTTTCTCCAACCTAGTTCTACCTCAAGACAGGTGTCTGTGTGAGTGGGCGGCGTGTGAAAGCTGCCAGTGCAGCTCGGTGGTTACCTCTCACAGGTGACCAGCCTCCGCCGAGCACCACTTCAACCTAGCCTTCGCAGGGACCGAATAGAACGAAAACGATCTCTACGAGTAGTACAGGTACAATACCGGAGGTCCTCGTGTCGCACTCTCGACTGGTCTGTTTATAAGGCTGAACTATTTATTAACATGTTATTAATCTGACAATCTTTTTGCGTTACACGGAAATTCCAAATATTCTGTGATTCTTCTTATTCCTGCAACGAACCCGACCCTTAGGTTTTGGTATGTTTTCTGCAATAGCTGAAGTTGAGTGGCGAGCACGCAATGATATTATGTAGAGTTAGGCTTGCAGACCCACGGGCCGCGCCGCGAGCCGCCGGCGCCGGGCCTACTCACGCGCCTCTGTTGTTACTTTCACACGTCGTGTACGTATGTACTTCACGTGCAACGAGCTTACCTTGTCGTAACAACTACATTATTTATGAATCAGTTGTGCAGCGTGTGTGTGTGTGCTGTGTGCGAGCAGGTCAAGCTCAGTGGTGCCCGTGAGAGTGTGAGTTCATATAGTTAGTTAAGTTCGTGAGGAATCTTACAGAGAGATGAGGTTGTGATGCAAGGGCGGCAGAGCCTGAAGACCGGCGGAGCGACAGTCTAGGCGCTCTCCGCCGCCGCCGCCGCTGCACATCGCCGCCGCCGCCCACAGCGCGCCCGCCGCCCACAGCGCCGCCGCCCACATGCGCCGCCTCACCCGCACCCCATCACGTACACGATGCAACTACTCTATGCACTAAGCTAACACTTATAACCATTTAATTGTACCATGTATGTAGGTATTGCACAAGATCACAGAACACTGAGAAGACGGGGAGGTCGCGCCAAGTGAGGGTGTGCGCGGAGGGCCCGGCACAGTTCGCGATCCTGAGATCGTGCTCCGTGCGGCGGCCGTGTCGTCGCGCGGGGTCGGAAGCGCGTGAAGCGTGCGGTCTCGGCGAGCAGACGCGCGCCACTGACGGGCAGGACGCCGCCGCCGGCCTGTCTCCGCCGCGCCACTACTCACAACCACCACGATACTAGTCATTACTTAATCGTAATGTTACACTAATAATATGTTACAAATTTTAAACATAATTAGACAACATAAGACACAGGTGGACACTGTTACAAGTCGCCGCCGTCGATGTGATCATATGTCCCGAATCTCGGGTGTGCATTTGAACGGAGATAGCCGTTATGCTCTGCAACTGAGACTTGGAGCTCGTACCTCTGGGTGGGTGACATCATCAGGTGCGTTGCAAGCTCCTCAGCTAGTTCTTAATTGTTCATTTAACTGTCCTAACTTAAAAAAATATCAAATAAAATCTAAACGAATATGGCATCTTGTACTTTTGTTACCACTTGTATAGTACCGGTCATGGTCACTAAGATATAATATCAATATCAGCTTTACAATTACATATTATTATAGGTATATAGTCCAATCTAATAAGAACTATAAAATAAATTTATAACCAATATAAAGTGAACCTAATAATTATAATGAAGGACTAACGGTTGTAAGCCGGTACTGGCCGGTACTTGTAACTTTATTCATTTGGAAACAATCGCTTTTTCAATGAAATGTAAGCGGCAAAAAAACACAGCCCTAAATTTTCATGATTTAATTTTTTTAATATCGATATTAGTACTTCAATAATTTTCAATTCTTGGTTGTCGTCTACTGATCAATAATTATCACTCTATCAGTTATCCGCCAGGCGTCTACCGGTGTCACTTCTCACCCGTAATCTGCAAGGACCAGGGATAAGGACGAAGCCGGTCTCGTGTTATAACTTTCCTCCTTTCGTTATAACTTTCCCTTAAAATTTTCTAATATATTTAAGTACAAAAAAAATTATCTAATAAAATTATGCAACTGGTAAAAAGAAGCGATAATACAAGTAAAGTTTAGTACTACGGATAAGTTTAGTACTACGGAGCCTATGAAAACTAGAATAAAATATGTTCAGTGAATGACATAAAAATATTAAAGATATCTCACGCTCCTCGACTAGGTGTCACCTGCACTGGACTCTCACCGGGGAGCCTGGGACACAGCGCGGCGGGGCCGGACTCTTCATCGCCGCCAGTAGGTACATAACGTGCGATGGTGCACTGTTTGCCTGGAATGTTCGGAGAAATCACCTGAATTGTTTGCAAAAGCAATAAAGCAGAAAGGCATAAAAAGATAATTTAATTAGGCATAGTAGGTATTGAGTTATTCAAATTACAAAGGTCTTTATGTACCTAGCAGAATTCTTAACTGACGACAGTACCCACTTAGTGTTCGGCGGCCGTCCGCTTATCGGCCTTTGTTAGCAATATAAATATAATTACTTAATGCAGAAAACAATAACGAAAATTAGGAAAAGCACTTTTTTGGTTTTGGATATGTTGGTGATGTGGGTAAAACTCACTATGGAAAAAACTAAGATGAATTGACATTATATTGAAAAGTTAAAAAAACACTATATAAAGACAATCAGCGATGACCGGCGACCGGCTATGGCTGCAATGACTTGAGCTCCAAGAGGATACAGTTGAAGACGGCAGCTGGTTTCGGCGAATAAGTTTCTGACCGATTCTATGGTTTGCCCATCCGAATGAAATTAATTATTATGTTGTGAAGAAGATAGCTGGGCACGGCGATTAATTGAAGTGTAATGATGTAGCGGTGTAGGTAAACACACAGTATTAAGTTTTGCAAAATTTTATGGCGACCCGGGTGTGCTCAATTTCAAATTTGTTAAATGCAAAAATTGTTGCGATATGTACATGGCACACACTGCATCTTAACAGCCTTTTGTTCTTATTTGTATTATGCCGGTCACTCATATGAAGGGCCGTCATACATTCATTCGCAAACTTAGCGGCTGTGCAAATGGGTTCGGTACTCAATTTGCGAATCCGTATGCGCTTCCTCCCACACTTGTTTACGTATGTCTCACGAATTTCTCTTCTTTTTTAATTCACCAATAGAACATTGAAGAAAAAGGGAGTTTTTAATTCATTCCCAGGCGTCCCTTGGCCGTTAGCCATTCTGTTTTTATGGGATTTCTTTTGAGGGTCCCATATGGTCGATTCATTTTGCAGGAGTTCAATGAACTCCATCACATTAGTGTTGTTCCAATCCATGATTAAGGTACGCTACACAGTAGACGACACGAATTATGAAAATGGCGAAACGTCCGTTACCATCGCAATCGTGGGCGCAGCTGGTCACACGAATGTGTGGGAGATTACACGAATAATCGCGGTTCGCGTGCTTTGATGTCCGTTGAAAAACCGACACAGCTTGGAAAACCACGAATGCAGCGAAAACTTTGCATAATCATTTGCAAATGTCGTCCTACACTTGCGGGTTTGCGTATTCGTGTGAATGTGAGTGACCGGTATTATAATAGGTTTGGGAAAAAGTTTCCTCGCATTTTTTAAGAAAATTCACAATATTTTTAAATATAGTTTATTTACATTTAATTAAAGTATGTAGGTACCATTTTGTTCGATAACTTTTTGCCATCTTGTAGGTAGGGACATGATCCCATTGCTATAGACATTTTGAGACTTCTGATTAAAATACCGCGACAATTGGTTTTGGCAGTCCTCTCGTGATGTTAACCTGACACTGCCTAAAGAATTCTAAAGAGACCGAAACAGGTGGAATTCTGAAGGTGCAAGGTCAGGACTATACGGCGGGTACACACCTCCCAGCCAAGCTCTCTTAATTTTATTTATTTATTTAAGGATTACCGACAGAGTTTACAGTAAGACATAAAATAACATTGACATGTATAGAGCAATTGATAACTGCAACTCTAATTAGAGGCAATCACAGCATGCATTACATTAATATATCAATAGAGATTTAACAATACTATTAATAATAATAAAAAATTAAAAACAAAAGAAAGACAACAAGGACAGTAATACCCGAGTACTCAGACCAAGGCTGAGGC